AATAAATAAATGAATATTTTATATCAAATTGGGTTGAGAATAAGATTCTGTTTGATTTAACGAACAAAAACAATTTAGATTCTTTTTGAAAAATGTGCATGGCTCTTAAAAGGGCCGTTTCTGTTGCAGAAATTATCTTCAGTCTGTACGAATTGTTAGGATAACTCCGTTTTATTTCTTCAAGTGACCGTACTGGCAACTGCCCTATGTACAGTCTACATGTATACAATAATATAATTATTTCTCCTTGAACTTCATCATGTGCATTAACTGTTACTGGTCTACTGTTCTTTTGAGAAAAATAAAGTGAATGGCTTTCATTTTCCACATTGTTCTATAAACTGTTTCGGTATCTTAACTTTGTCGGTGTGATGAATAATTTTTCATTATTTTCATGTCCTAAACTCGGGTCATATAAGTTAATCTAAAGAAACATTTCACATATAATCCGCTCTAATCAATTGTACGCTAAATGTCAGTGTTTTGGCATAATTTGAGCAGAAAATTCGTGAAACTGTAGTCTATAATGTTGTTTTTCAACACACATGTTTACATTCATGGAGGCTGCCATTTTTTTCTACCAGACTATAAATATAACCGCTAATTTGATTGGATAACTCAATTTCCGGTATTTCCGACCGGCCAATCAGATCGTCGTTATCATTAATACACGGAATGTGTTCAAATTTGAAACTAAAAATATTGTACGAGTATGTATCCTGTCCAGCTGCGGTTACATTAATCATGTTAATAATTATTAATACTCAACAACCTTCGATAAATAAAGAAATAGAAATTAAAGGCAGAACATTTAGGCATGACATTAGCTGTTGAACCAAGAATTTACGATGAGACGATGTGCTGATGTAGGGCAGACGTACAGCAGATACAGGTAATTTTTAAGAGATTTTACATTTGATTTTTACATCATGAATATTTTTAAATTAAAAAAAAAAAAAGATGTACATTCCCTTTAGTTTCATTCATGGGCTCCGTTAGTTCACACTTTGAGGATGACTATTTGGTGTTCTCAAAAGGGGGAGGTGGGAATGTAATAATAATTTTATTATTCAATTACATTGTGTGCCTTCACAATCAAGGAAAGATGTTTACTACACAATGTCCGGCACATTCAACTTAATTTTGTCATGTTCTGATTTGGATGGACATGCAACACAATAAATCCCTAAAGGTTAATATAGTGTTTTAGAATCTTTATACTTAAATGAAAGAAGCTTCTTAATTATATATGTACATTGTATGATAAATATCAGTAATATATGATGCATAAAGGTCATGACCAGAATTAAAAATTATTAATAAAATGTTTTTACATTTTTTTTAGGTTGTCCATATATTAAAAGGGATCATGGTGAAGGTACAAAGCTGCAAAAATGATGACTGTGCATCGATCAATATCCACTCAATAATATGAAAACACGATGAAAACAAACAAACCAGCAGCAGAAAAGAAATTTGAGTATAAGATTATTGAAAGGTACTTATTGAATTATTTTTTCATCCTTCCCAGACTTGAAATAAAAATACATTAATCATTCACATCTATAAGCTGTAAACACATCTCAAACACATTGATCTGATCATCATGCACAATTGTTAAGTATGGCTATTATGTGAACAAAATGAGGTGTCTGGTATGCTTCAACTAGATAGTAAACCAACAACAAACACAACACAAAGGGAAAGATAATATGAGGCTAAATAAAAATGTATGGGTGGTTCCAATTACCTTACCTCCCTTTCTTTTAGTCTTAACAATAGCCTACCCTAAAGATTTTTTTGTCATTTTTCAGTAAGCACTGTTTAAGTCAGAATGTTGCTCCCATAGACTCAATGTAAAAAAAAAGCCATAAAATAAAAAAAATCCTTACCTACCTACCTTAATTTTTTTTAAATGTAACTGGAACCACACATACTATTTTATTTGGCCTCTGAGAGACACCTGATCCATGAACTATAAAAGTCTATTTTGATAAAAAGAGATGTGTGTTATAAGTCTAAGAGACAGCAACCCAACAACTATAGCCAAAGATATCTAGAGAGCACATAGTCTTCAACAATAGACAAAATGATAGACATGTGTCTAAATTGCTCTTAGTGTATAAATGTTGTGAATAAATTAAACAAACACACAAAAAATATGCCAGTAACATATATTTTTGAATAATTGCAGAATAGAGCATGGACTTGGTATTGTAATGTTGTTTTAATTCAAAATTCTTTGCATGTTATGATGTATGATTTTTTTTCTTTCATATTAATCAATGAAGACTTAATGGAACAGGATTGGAATGCAGAAACTTTGGACTTAATACATGAATAATATCAATGGATGATGAAGAAAACTGACCAAACTGACAAAGTATTTCGTATGCATGTAAACTGGACATTTTTGTTTGTTTAATGCACAATAAACAAATTTTAAAAATGAAAATTAAAACCATTTGTGAAAGATTTCAAGAGGCCCAAAAGTTACCATGGACTTATGAATGATTTAACCAGAAAAATGATTTACATGTACAATTAAGTAAATACATCTTTGTCTAAAAAATGATAATTTATCAACATTAATATTTTAAAGAGGTTGATCTTTTCGTTTAAAAGGTATTAAATGTGGATAATGTATAAACTGTTGTAATTTCTTTAATTGCTGACTTGCATTAAAATGGTTATTGTCTTATTTCAAGTTTTCTTATTAATTCATTCAAAAATAAGCGGTGCATGCAAAATGATATCTAACATTTCAGTGGAATTGTCAATTTCCATTGAAATATCACTGGTTTTCTTTGGTTGATTGTTACAATTTCCAATGGAATTACCACTGGTATCCCAGTTGAAAGCTATAAATGTCCAGTGGGAAAACAATGGTATTCCAACGAAGTTTTCACTGGTATTCCAATGGAATTTCCACTGTATTCCACTCGAGTATTCACCGGAATCCCACTGGATATTCCACTGATATCCCAATGGAAAACAATGAATGTCCAATGAAAATCCCGACCAAATTTCCCAGTGGTAATACAGTGGTATTCCAATGGAACTCTGATGGAACTCCACTGGTATTTTCAGTGAAATCCCACTTTACATTTTCAGTAGGGTAGTTTACTAAAAGCCCTAAATGCAAAATAAATTCATAATATATGCATATTTGTGAGTTAAATTGTTTAGAAGTGCTTTTATTTACTCTTCGCAGTCATTGAAGCTCATAGATCCTTCCTGAATATTATTCAGGTGGGGTGTTTTTGTCCTGTCGATAACCCAAAAGTAAGCCGTAACACCTAAATCTGCTTTTTTGTCACCGCGACATAAAAAATACAAGCTAGAAATACAAAAATATCTCAACAAAACTTACAATTAATAGTGTGTCCTATCCTAAATATGTACTAAATATTCCATATTGCTAGAAACAGCAGAATAATTTAGGAAATTTGAGGCCCCAGGGGCAAAAACAGAGAAAATTGCCTACCCCCTGGGTCATAAAACAAATAATATAACTTGTAAATGCTATGATTTTATGGTTTCAAAGGTCTTTATATAGAAAACAATCACTGTGCTTGGAAGTTATACAAAAATCAGATGTTAGCAGTCATTTCTATAAAATTTTAAGTGAATTTGTACATCAGACTGGTATCTGCATACATATAACTATTGCAAATATGGCTTTGTTTTAACACTTCTAGTTCATATGTTAGTTAAATTATGTCAGATATACGGTTAGAGATGATACTGTTGTGACAAAAATTCTAAACTGACCATGCATTTGAGGCAGAAATTGTGAACTTTCATTGACAAATAGGCATACAGTAAGATGTGGACTGGAGACAGAGGCAGGATTGGATACTTTATATAATCTTGAATGTTGGAATGATTGACTGCTAAACATTACATTTACAGTATTCTGAAATGCTTTCAATTTGTTATCAGAACAGTTTTAAACAGGTTCTAGGCATTTCATGTCAGAAAACATGCAAATAGGGTAAGCTGGCAATAATTAAAGTATTGTTTTCAAATTCTTTAAAAAACTGAAACAGGGGAGGGGGTATAAAATGTACAGTAAAAGAAAACTTAGAGTATATGCAGTGATTTCTTTGAGGCTATAATTCTGATAAATAAGTATTAATTTGAGAAAAAGTGATTTTAGAGAATTTTCTATTTGAATAAATGTCTGTATAGGTTGCACTTTGTAAATACAGCTGTTTCTCAAACCACGCCTCTTTTGGGGAGATATAGAATATTCATAGATAATTAATTTTGTTTACATACTGGTTCCCAGTTATGATCTCTATGTTTCATCTCATAGAGACATAACTTGATAATGTTACCAGTAAATAAACATATGCATATTGTTTATATTGCAAACTGTGGTAATCCTACTGTTCAGGTAGGGGTAGTTAAGAAATTTAGTGTTAGTTTAAACTCTTAGAAGTTCGGGGCATATAAAGGTTGAAAATATGCCGCACAGCCCTATATTTTGATCTTTAAAAAAAGTAGTAGTGCATATGAACTTTCCATTCTAGGATATGATTTTTTTCAAAACTTCATAGTAAAAGTGGTACGGTTTTAGCCGTAAAAGGAGTTCCTATGGGAAATTGCATTGTCAATATTTACAGAAATGCAACCTCTAGAGTTATGCCCCTTTACAAATGGAAAAAATGCTGAATTTTTCATTTCTGTTCTCTAACTTTAGTTTGCCTCAACCAAATGTTATGAAACTTATAAACAATGCTTATTACCACAAAACTCAAATCAAGTATGAATTTTGGTAGCGTCACTTTTATTGTTCTTGAGTTATGTCCCTTTATAACTTTATATGCAAGCGGGGGCATCATCTGTGTCCCATGGATACATTCCCCATTATTAATTGTTTCTGGTGAGTCTTTAGTTACTAAACATGTGTCTGGCATGAGGATTTCTTATAATTAATTTTATAAATGCAATTTCCCTCATGTAATAGACCATATGATCAAAATTTTATTAAGTTTCAGAAAAAGAAGAACATTCAAATCTTAAAGAGAAAATAAAGAAAATAGAAACTGAACAGAAAAAAGTAATTCCAAAAAATATTACAGGTATATTATTAGTTCATGTATATTTTTATTTTTTTTTAAACTCGACAACAAAAATGACTGCACCCCTGCAATCTCTGGGCATGCTTTGCAGCTATGTATGATTAATCTTTGGTCAGTTTATAAGCTTTCATCTGTAGACTAATTTGACATAAGCTGATAATTGCTTTGCTTTAAGCAATTGTAGGACACAAGGATGATATAACATGGACAATACAATACACAACTTTATCAATGTTAAATTCTGTTGTCATAGTTCAGGGTTATGCAATCCATATTTTATAGAATTTGACCTGTCCTAGGATGGGAATCATGCTCCACTTGTCTTTCTGTGTTGTTTTTTTTTGTGAATCAGTGAAACAATTGTAATCAGCACATGCAGGTACTTTGGATAGACTGTATAAGTGATGTATGATAAATTTACATGAACCAAATTTCCTAGTTAAGTTCAAGAAATTTATTATAATGCAGGGTCTTCCAGTATTCAAAAGTTCCATTGGTCCGACACCCCATTAGTCACGTAAAACAAATTGTGTAATAAATAAAAATTTCTTCATACTTGTCACATGAATTGTTCTCTTATACTGATAGAAATAAGATGACACTAATTGGTATATGTGATCCTTGTACTGAGGAGCTGTGTTGGCTTAGTGGTCTAAGTAGTCCAACTACTGTATCACTAGCCTCACAATACTAATAAACTGAGTTCATTTGTCAATGGAAATTATAATGGTTAGGTCTGTGTCTCAGTTGCTTATGATAAGCAGAAAGGTCAACTACATTTGTGTATGAAATAGAAGTTGTGCATATTTGTCTTGCAGGATTTATCTGACTGACCTTGACCTCAGTTACATGGATTATTGATAATGTTGAGTTTCTTCTTCTGCCCGGTTACAATTCAAACTCTATAGTTGAGTGTAATTGACTCGGGCGCATCTCAAAAAGACAGGAGGCCACTCCTCTGGTCAAAAGTAAAAGTCCAGGGAAAACTGGATGGTATTTACAATAAAATAATAAGCTTAATTACAACTATATACACTGGTTATTTTGCTGTGTTTTTCAGATGTGGCTGGGTCTAGGAGATGGTATTCACTCTGGCCCTGAAGTCCTCTAGTGATCCGGACTCCACTACAGATTCGGGAAGTTTATTCCACTCTCTAGTTGTTCTTTGGAAGAATGAGTGATAGTAGACATCCTTCTTCACTCTAATTTATCAAAATTTGTGGTTGCCCCTGTCCTACTGTCACCTGATGTGTAATATTTGGCTGGATCAATGGCAATCAACTGGTGTTGAGTCTTGTAACACAGCACAAGACTCTGTTTCCATCGTCTGTGCTGCAGTGATTCCATTTGAAGTTAGTCCAGTAACTTTGTAACACATCCAGTAGAGTTGTCCTGGTAGCAAGTTTATTTGATACTTGTAGTAAACCCTCATCTTAAAGGCTTTTAGGATAAGTTCAATCATGATAAGTACTGACCTTGACCTCATTTACATGAATTTTTAGCTCTCCGGGGCCCGAAGAGCCCTATGTGAGCTTATGCCATCACTTGGCGTCCGTCGTCGTCCGTCGTCTGTCTGTCGCCTGTCGTCGTCTGTCATCGTAAACTATTTCAAAAATCTTCTCCTCTGAAACTATTGGGCCAAATACCTTCAAACTTTAACTAAATGTTCCTTATGGTATCTAGTTTATAAATTGTATCCAAAGTTTTGATCCATCGACAAACATGGCTGCCATGGCTAAAAATAGAACGTAGGGGTCAAATGCAGTTTTTGGCTTATATCTCAAAAACTAAAGCTTTTAGAGCAAATCTGACAAGGGATAAAATTGTTCAATTGGTCAAGTTCTATCAGCTCTGAAATTTTCAGACGAATCGAACAACCCATTGTTGGGTTGCTGCCACGGAATTGGTAGTTTTAACAAATTTTGCAGTTTTTTGTTATTATTTTGAATATTATTATAGATATATATAAACTGTAAGCAGCAATAATGTTCAGCAAAGTAAGATCTACAAAAAAGTTAAATGACCATAATTGTCAATTTACCCCTTAAAGACAATTTTACACAATTTGTTCATCAAGTTTGCTAACATTTAAAAATCTTCTCCTCTGAAATACAGGTGAGCGATTCAGGCTCTTGAGAACTTCTTGTTTATAATGTTACGTTTATGTGATACTTGTAATATAACCTCTTCTTAAAGGCTTTCAGGATAAATTCAATCATGATAAGTAAAGCAGGTAAAAAAAAAATCAGCCTTAACAATCTTGTTCCTATATACAGGTCATAGTTTTGTTTTCTATACAGAGTTCAGGTACATGTACCCTCACCATACTCATGCAAATAGGCATGCACACTCAGATTTCAGTAGGCCAATAATACAATTATTTTTTTTTACATTGACTTATGAAACTTGGTATGAAGTTGTTTAACCTAATAACGGTGTCATGTATTGGCATGACCTTTATTTGACCTTACCCTTTGACATAAGGGTCAAATTATCTGATTTTTGAGAATATTTTCTTGTCTGGTTTATCATATTTAGTATGTTTTCACCACCAAGACAATGTGCATACCATGACCTTTGACCTTGACTGGTCAGGCAATTAATTAATGAAACCCCAAAACCATGTATTTTATGTTATATTAAATGATTTTACAATTACTTATATTTTTATTGAAATGTTTGGTGGTTAACCAAGGCAATCTGTTGTTGTCTTGCTAATAATTATATATTTTCAGGGATATTTTCAATTTATGTTTTACGAAAACAAGCAGATGTGTTATGTTGGCAAATGAGCCAACTATCCACTGAAGGACAAGCACTTAATCAGTTACAGGTCACCATCCAGTCTTCAACAATGAGTTCAACATATACTGTTAACATGGTGAAGTCAGATATTGAAAGGCCTGAGATCACAAAATGTGAGGTAACATACACCAAATACTTAATCCACTATTATGTTTGTTGTAAATGATAGTGCATAATTCAAGTAAATAGTCATTTTTTTTAATTTTAAATTAGCTTCACTTTATATTTTTCAGATCAGATACAAAGACAAATAAAAGACTGGGAGGAGAAAGATAAGATGTTCGTGTCTACCAGAGCCAGTGATTACGTCATGGAATGTTTACAGGACAACAGTTGCTTGACATTAACTGCCCCATCGGGAGTTGGAAAATCATTTATTGCAAGACACACAGCACTTCTGTTAAAGAAGGAAGGATACAATATAATACCAGTGTACTCACCAACAGACATAAGAGATTATTATCAGCCTGGTAAACAGACAGTCTTCATTGTAGATGATATTTGTGGAAATTTCAGTGCCAACCAACAACAGATTGATAACTGGAAACAACTGCTACCTGTGATAAACACAATTATTGCAGACAAATGTTGTAAGATAATTGTATCGTGTAGGTTACAAGTCTATAAAGATGAAAAGTTTAATATATTATCACCTTTTAAGTCTTGTGAATGTAACTTAATATCAGATAAGTTATGTCTTACGTCTGTAGAGAAAACAAACATAGCAAATACTTATATTGGTACAAGCATGAAAGATATTCATGATTTATCACAAAACTGTGATTTTTTTCCACTATTGTGTAGTTTATATCATGAAAAAAAAGATGTAGATGTAAAAGAATTTTTCAAAAATCCTTTTGCTGTCTATAAAAATGAGCTAGACAGGTTAAGTGAGCATGGTGATGAAGAGAAATATAAAATATGTAGTCTTGCTTTATGTGTTCTCTTTAATAATCACCTTGACGAAAAATGGTTCTTGGGTAAAGTTACAAAGAGGCAAAAACAGATCATAAAAGACACATATAATGCTTGTGGATTGGACAGAGGAATATCCAAGGTAAAACTGCAACATGCCCTTGACACCCTAGTTGGTACATTTATCTGTAAACAGATTGGTATTTATAGAACTATACATGATAAAGTATTTGACTTTCTTGCTCATTATTTTGGTCAGAAAATGATTGAATGTTTAATAGATCATGGTGATAGTGGTTTAGTACATGAACGTTTCATCTGGCAGAAATTACCAGGTGACATGGCCAGTAACATAGACTTCATTATAGAAATACCAGATGATTATTTAGAATCATATTTAGAAAGGTTTATAAAAGACTGGTCAGCAGGAAAGGTGGCAGATGTATTCAGTAACAATAATATTAAGGACTCATCATTCAGACAAAAGTTATTACAGTACTTAAAACAACTACATAAACCACAACAAGTAACATTAGCCAATACCAAGGATACAGTGATACCAAAGGAGAACTGTGCATCAGGTACTACTCCACTGGTATGGAATTGTTATGATGGTTATACTGATGTGGTTCAGTGGTTGTTATGTAATGACGTAGATGTGAATCAGTGTAGAGATGATGGGGTTACTGGACTGATCATGGCAAGTCATGAAGGACATACTGATATAGTAAAGTTACTGTTAGAGAAGGGTCCTAATGTTGATCTATGTAACAAGAATGGCTGTAGTCCTCTGTACAAGGCAAGTCAGAATGGACATACTGATATAGTAAAGTTACTGTTAGAGAGGAATCCTAATGTTGATCTATGTAACAATGAAGACTGTAGTCCTCTGTTACTGGCAAGTCAGGAAGGACATACTGATGTAGTAAAGTTACTGTTAGAGAGGAATCCTAATGTTGATCTATGTAACAAGGATGGCTGTAGTCCTCTGAACATGGCAAGTCAGGAAGGACATACTGATGTAGTAAAGTTACTGTTAGAGAGGAATCCTAAAGTTGATCTATGTAACAATGAAGACTGTAGTCCTCTGTATATGGCAAGTCATAATGGACATACTGATATAGTAAAGTTACTGTTAGAGAGGAATCCTAATGTTGATCTATGTAACAATGATGACTGTAGTCCTCTGTACATCGCAAGTCAGAATGGACATACTGATATATTAAAGTTACTGTTAGAGAGGAATCCTAATGTTGATCTATGTAACAATGAAGACTGTAGTCCTCTGTATATGGCAAGTCATAATGGACATACTGATATAGTAAAGTTACTGTTAGAGAGGAATCCTAATGTTGATCTATGTAACAAGGATAGCTGTAGTCCTCTCTACCTGGCAAGTCAGAATGGACATATTGATATAGTAAGGTTACTGTTAGAGAGGAATCCTAATGTTGATCTATGTAACAAGAATGGCTGTAGTCCTCTGTACAAGGCAAGTCAAGAAGGACATACTGATATAGTAAAGTTACTGTTAGAGAGGAATCCTAATGTTGATCTATGTTACAATGAAGACTGTAGTCCTCTGTTACTGGCAAGTCAGGAAGGACATACTGATGTAGTAAAGTTACTGTTAGAGAGGAATCCTAATGTTGATCTATGTAACAAGGATGGCTGTAGTCCTCTGAACATGGCAAGTCAGGAAGGACATACTGATGTAGTAAAGTTACTGTTAGAGAGGAATCCTAAAGTTGATCTATGTAACAATGAAGACTGTAGTCCTCTGTATATGGCAAGTCATAATGGACATACTGATATAGTAAAGTTACTGTTAGAGAGGAATCCTAATGTTGATCTATGTAACAATGAAGACTGTAGTCCTCTGTATATGGCAAGTCATAATGGACATACTGATATAGTAAAGTTACTGTTAGAGAGGAATCCTAATGTTGATCTATGTAACAAGGATGGCTGTAGTCCTCTCTACCTGGCAAGTCAGAATGGACATATTGATATAGTAAGGTTACTGTTAGAGAGGAATCCTAATGTTGATCTATGTAACAAGGATGACTGTAGTCCTCTGTACATCGCAAGTCAGAATGGAAATACTGATATAGTAAAGTTACTGTTAGAGAGGAATCCTAATGTTGATCTATGTAACAATGAAGACTGTAGTCCTCTGAACATGGCAAGTCAGGAAGGACATACTAATGTAGTAAAGTTACTGTTAGAGAGGAATCCTAATGTTGATCTATGTAACAAGAATGACATTAGTCCTCTGTGCAAGGCAAGTAATAACGGAAATACTGATATAGTAAAGTTACTGTTAGAGAGGAATCCTAATGTTGATCTATGTGACAATGATGGCTGTAGTCCTCTCTACTGGGCAAGTCAGAATGGACATACTGATATAGTAAAGTTACTGTTAGAGAGGAATCCTAATCCTAATGTTGATCTATGTGACAATAATGGTGTTACACCCCTGATCAGTTCTTGTATTCATAACCACACCAGTATAGTCCAATTATTAGTTAAACATAAACCAAACATTAATACCAAAACAATGTTTGGTAATAGTGCCATATATTACAGTGTACAGAATGGACGCATAGATATAACAAAGTTACTGTTAGAGAACAATGCTGACTGTAATATATGTATCCATAGTAAACAAGATTTAACAGATACATTTACTAACCATCCAAAGTACACATTAGATCAAGTAAAACAAGAATTATTTAATAACCTTGTAATGTATACTCCATCACATGTAGCAGCCTATATCAGAAAGAATTCAGTAGAGTATGCCTTTGATGTAGTAGCTGGTTCTTCTCCATTACACATAGCCTGTTTTAAGGGTAGCATAGATGTAGTCCGTTGTCTTCTGAACCACAATGCTAACATTAACATGACAAAAGAAGATGGAACAACACCATTATTTTATGCATGTGAAGTAGGACATGAGGATATTGTACGTTTATTATTAGATAAAGGTGCAGATACACAGATATGTAGACTTGATGGGAAATCCCCTTTACAGATTTCTACAGATAATGGACATACTTCTATAGTAATGATATTAACAAATCACACAAAGAAGGAGGACAAAGTTTCTTCTTAAATCTTGTTCTTTAGTCAGTGGTTCTTTATGACATGTTAAAAAACATGTAAGGGAAGTTGAAACGTTTTCTTTTAAACTCTTGTTCTTTAGTCGGTGGTTCTTTATGACATGTGAAAAACATGCAAGGGATGTTGGAATGTTTCCTTCTAAATTTTTGTTAATTGACAATTAATAGTGTTTGCAAAATCAAATACATAATAAAATGTGGCTGGAACATGCTCTCTTGCTTAAACCACATGCTAACTAAAACCCGGATGAAGTAACAATGGGGCAAATCTAGTACAAGGCGTTATCAATTAGGTACAATGAGAGTTGCCTTCCATTGTACGCCTTTAGTCAGTGGTTGGTTAATACATGTAAAAGCATGCAGCGAAAGACGAAAAACCTTCTTTTGTTATTTTCTTGTTGATAGTGTTTGTTTAATATGTTTGATATCTACTGCTATTCATTCCCTTACTTTCTCTTCCTTTCTTCACATTACATGAATATTTCTTAATTTTATGACCAGGAATAAAAGAAACATTTTAGATTTAGATACAGTAAAAGCATTTTGTTGATGCCAATGAATAAAACTGTAGACATTGTAATTCTATCATTATACTTAGTTGTTTTCATTTACTTCATTGTAATGTGATGAGTCAGGTCAGTTTTTGTCTTATTTGATTTTCAATTTAAATGTTCAATATTTTACTGATTGTATGATATACCTTTTATATACTGTATACATATATAGACTACCATTTTATGTGTATTGCTATGTTGGTTACTGATTGTATGATATACCTTTTATATACTGTATACATATATAGACTACCATTTTATGTGTATTGCTATGTTGGTTACTGATTGTATGATATACCTTTTATATACTGTATACATATATAGACTACCATTTTATGTGTATTGCTATGGTGGTTACTGATTGTATGATATACCTTTTATATACTGTATACATATATAGACTACCATTTTATGTGTATTGCTATGGTGGTTACTGATTGTATGAGATACCTTTTATATACTGTATACATATATAGACTACCATTTTATGTGTATTGCTATGGTGGTTACTGATTGTATGATATACCTTTTATATACTGTATACATATATAGACTACCATTTTATGTGTATTGCTATGTTGGTTACTGATTGTATGAGATACCTTTTATATACTGTATACATATATAGACTACCATTTTATGTGTATTGCTATGTTGGTTACTGATTGTATGATATACCTTTTATATACTGTATACATATATAGACTACCATTTTATGTGTATTGCTATGTTGGTTACTGATTGTATGAGATACCTTTTATATACTGTATACATATATAGACTACCATTTTATGTGTATTGCTATGGTGGTTACTGATTGTATGATATACCTTTTATATACTGTATACATATATAGACTACCATTTTATGTGTATTGCTATGTTGGTTACTGATTGTATGATATACCTTTTATATACTGTATACATATATAGACTACCATTTTATGTGTATTGCTATGGTGGTTACTGATTGTATGATATACCTTTTATATACTGTATACATATATAGACTACCATTTTATGTGTATTGCTATGGTGGTTACTGATTGTATGACAAACCTTATATACTGTATACATATATAGACTACCATTTTATTTTTATTGCTATGTTGGTTCATATTTTCTATTGTGTATTTATTCCTTTGTATATTTTGGCTTACATGACAAACCCCTATATTTTTTGTTTGGTTTTGTTTTGATGTTGTTGGGGTACTGTCTAATTGTAAGACATATTGTACTTAACAGAACTAATTAAATTGACACGTAATAACAATATGTTCCACCGAAAAATACAGTTAACTATCCAGTTTTTAGATTCAGGAAAGCTGTGACACAAAATGTTTATTTGGTTTTGTTGTGATGTTGGAGTTCTGTCTAATTTCAAGATATATATGTTGTATTTGATAAAACTTATTGAATTGACACATAATAACCATATGTTCCACCGAAAATACAATTATCTATCCAGTCTTTACAGGAAAGATGTGACAGTGACACAGAATGTTTATTTGTTTTGCAACAAATTCTTATCATGCTACCAAATATATATTGTATCTCAGCAGGTCTGAAAGGCCTTGTGAGATCTGTCATCACTTTGGTTCCAGTGTCTGTTTTCCTATCCAAGTCTGTTGACACACCAGCTAAAAAAATTTAAAAAGACATATGGCCAACATTTACGATATATATACAATAGGAGAAAAAGTTCTGTTTTGAATATATCATCTGTAGATAAATGTCTTGCCCATTTTAACTGATATCTTTATAGGGGCATTAGCTGTCAAATTCATGTTCACCGGTTTGACTCAAATTCTCATGTTTGATTTATAACATCCTAAAACGTATATCCAAATAATAAAAAGTCTAAAATAAACAATTTACGATGCACGAACTCGATAAAATGTATCAGCATTTCGTGTGTATTTCGTCTAGACGCCATCTAATTAACCATCGAAGTGACCTACGAAGACTGCCGACGATCATATAACCCGATGTCAACATAAACAGAGATATAAATAGATAGCAAACTTGTGCAGTTGGATTTTTCTAGGTCTGTTTGATTTCATATTATAGGTTTAAAAAATACCTGTATAACAGTCAGCTTTTGTAGATCGAATCAGTCAACCAAATGGTTTACCCTTGTTTCACTTCCAATGTTGAAATTCTTTTCTTTTTGATAGCTGAACATGCTAGTTCATGCATTACCCATCTCTAGCTAAGGGGTTCAATTGAAGTTCACATGAATAAGGATTTAATGAGGTCGAATTATTCACTTGCAAGTGAATAATTTATTAGCGATGTTTCTTTGCTTATTTTGACAAAACTGAACCAAACTGGCTGCTTAAAGCGAATTATTATATCACTATTTCACTTTCATTAATGATTGAACAAAAAAAATCATACTTTAGTTTTTTCTATATCTCGTAGCTAATGCCCCATTAATAGATATATATTTTCATATGATTGGGTTGAATATTTTGGATTCTTTTTTCTGATGTAACTTTGAGTCTTTATATTAGTGAAATAGAACTGACAATGATTTTTGTTTTATATTTTATGACCAGCTGGATTTTAACATGATTGACATTCTCAGTAAGGACCTTGCACAAATGTGAACAAAAAAATCAGTAAAGCAGGAAAGAAATTTCAATGTGTGCACTCTTGTTCGAGATTTTCAATGTGTGCACTCTTGTTTGAGATTTTTAATGTGTGCACTCTTGTTTGAGATTTTTAATGTGTGCACTCTTGTTTGAGATTTTTAATGTGTGCACTCTTGTTTGAGATTTTTAATGTGTGCACTCTTGTTTGAGATTTTTAATGTGTGCACTCTTGTTGCAGATTCTATTTATCTTATTGTTTCGTCATTCTATATAACATTGTAGAGTAAAGCATCAATAGGAAATGAATTTTCAGCATCACATCTCTGATCGTTTTCATGACCCCCCCCCCTTAAAACAAGTTAATGTCCAACATCACAGTATTTACTGTCTTTAGAGGTCATGTAAGCAATGCAGACTGTGGTTAACAGCTAAATGCCTTGTAAAGTTATAATTTATAATTATTAGTTACAACTTAAACTGATCTTAATAACTTTTGATTGTTTGATTTTTTTATTGTCTACATTGTAATATAGTTATACAAAAAAGTCATATTGTTGATATAATATGTCTCAGAAAAAACAATCATAATAAAATCATTTATTAGTTTTTTATGGGTTCTTATTACATTATCTATGTTAATTTGTCGAAAAAGACCATTTTAGATAATGTGTTCTTTGGTTGAAGTGGATGTGAACAATATTCCATGGAGAATGCATTCATCATTTTTGGCTTTGCAGTTTAAAATCTAAGTACATTATGGCAAAATGTGTATATGAGGTAGAAGTGCATGCAGCTTTTAACTGAGTTGCCACAAAGTAAATGTTGCTTAATTACAACTATATCATGCAAGATGTATGGGAGTCGGCTTTCCAGTTTCCCAGTTTCGATCCATAATAAACATTTCACCATACTTGGTTTAATAATGCTCCATCGGAAAGAATTTTAGGATTATTAGGTCAATTTTACTGTGCCTATAAATATACCGAAAGTTTTGGTCAATAAATGCCTCTGAGTGCAAAATGCCTCTTGAGTTTCAAGTAACTAATATAAGAATAAGGAGATGTGATATGATTGTCAATGAGAGCATACCAGGGTGACCAAAAGTAGAAGCAAGCAGCTATATGTCACCATACGTCCTTCAACAATTAGCAAAACCCATGTAGTAAGCTGTAAAAGTCTCTGACATGACAAAAATGTGTAACATTTTAAACAAGAAAACCAATGGCCTGATCTATGAACAATTTCGAAGTCATAAGTCACAGCAGACTGAAATTGTGGCAATATTATTTGTTTCCTGATGCTATCTTTAAATCAAATGTCCTTTCTTAACGAAAAATAGAAATAGCTTGAAAATGACCCCTAAACACGAACAAGACTCCTGTTGAGTTTTTGATCAGTAGGTAACGGTTTAGGTTTAGTTAAAATAGACAGGAAATTTGGGAATGGTTTTGTTTCAGGACAATATATTGAGTCATGAATAACTTATCTGTGGTAGATAATGTGTAGTAATTTAAGGGTCAAAGGTTAATTTTACAGTGGTTATTTATAGACTGAAATTATTGGTGCATCTGTATTATTTATCTGAATGAAATTATCCTTAAATTAAGTTACTAATCACTTATCCACTGCAGTGTCATCACAAGTATACGTTCATTGTTAATAAGGCCTCAGTGTAACTTTCAGATGAAGAACAGCAAAAATCCATATTTGATTAATTTTGTTTGTATCGAGTGGACATACTGATTATGTGTCATAAGAACCACCTTTGGTAGTCTCGTGATAATGTGCTTGCCTTCTAGTGTCGGGGGACATGAGGTCAAGCCGAAGCAGGTTCAAAGACTTAAAAATTAGTATTTGCTGTTTTCGGCTATGCATGCAGCCTTTCGAAGTAAGAGCTCTAATTGTGAATAATGTGTTCAAGTAAGACGATATGCTTCTGTGACTGTGGACTATAACCTTGTGAACTAGCACTGATTTCTTACTAGATTTGGCTCTACTTTTTCTGGGTCTTTTTTGTCGCCGTTGTCACGGAAGCGAAAAAGCGATCCTACTTTCTGTTGTCAGCGTCGCCAGTCAGTTGTTAAATATGAAAGAAAGAAGATGTATGATTTTCAATGAGACAACTATCCAACAGAGAACAAAAGTCGTAGATGTAAGCAACAATAGGTCACCGTACAGCTTCAACAATGAGTAAAACCCATACAGTATAGTAAAAGACCCCGATATGACATAATGTAACAATGCAAACGAGAAAACTTATGACATGTTTTATGAACAAAACAATGAACGAAAAACAAACATGATCGACAGCAACCAAGGACCACTGAATTGCAAGCTTCGACTCTGGACATGCACATACAGGATGTGGGTTTAAACATGTCTGGGAGCTATCCGCCCTTTTCACTAAATTGGGATAGTGGTGTAACAGCACAAAATAAAAAAATAAAGAGCTGCGCCATAAGCGCATGAAACGCCAGTCGCACTTTTAGCTCGTCTTTATGCTTTAACTGAAAGTATATCATCAACTAGAAATAATGTGAACACTGCTCAAATAGACCCCCTCCCACCAAGAAAAAAAAATTTAAGAAGACATGCACACACAGTGGTACCCATTAACACAAAAGCTTATTTCAATTGATATAAACAAGTCACCAAAGTCTCATGAAAACTGTCCAAAGCGTTTTTGAGTTATTGTCCGAAAACTGGATGCACTCCCCACTTTTAAGCATAAAGTCACAATACAACTTAAAACTTAAAATCATATATAATTGGTGAAAGTGTTTTTGAGGTATTGTCCGAAGTATTGACGACGGACTGATGGACAACGGAATACAATAATAGGTACCGTCTTTAAAAACTGAATTAATCGACACACAGCACAATTAAAAACAATATACAAAAAGACGAAAAGTACAGATCTGAGATTACTCGTAGTAACTGAAAGCTTTTTTCCCTTCATTTTACAAAACTTAGACAGATGTTTCTTCATGATCAGTAGACAGTATCCAGAGCAAACTTTTTATTTTTCTTCTTCATTTTTGTCGAGCCTGCGACTTTTGTCGCAGAAAGCTCGACATAGGGACAGTGATCCGGCGGCGGCGGCGGCGTTAGCTAACTTCTTAAAAGCTTTATATTTTAGAAGGTGGAAGTTCTGGATGCTTCATACTTTGTATATGGATGCCTCATGTTACGAAGTTTCCGTCAGTCACATGTCCAATGTCCTTGACCTCCTTTTCATGGTTCAGTGACTACTTGAAAAAAAAGTTAAGATTTTTTGTAATGTTAAATTCTCTCTTATTATAAGTAATAGGATAACTATATTTGGTATGTGCGTACCTTGCAAGGTCCTCATGCCCGTCAGACAGTTTTCACTTGACCTCGGCCTCATTTCATGGATCAGTGAACAAGGTTAAGTTTTGGTGGTCAAGTCCATATCTCAGATACTATAAGCAATAGGTCTAGTATATTCGGTGTATGGAAGGACTGTAATGTGTACATGTCCAACTGGCAGGTGTCATCTGGCCTTGACCTCATTTTCATGGTTCAGTGGTTATAGTTAAGTTTTTGTGTTTTGGTCTGTTTTTCTTATACTGTATGCAATAGGTCTACTATATTTGGTGTACGGTTGTTATTTAGTGTAGTAGGTGTTGACGTTTGTTATTTGGTGTAATAGATATTGACGTTTGTTATTTGATGTAGTAGGTGTTGACGTTTGTTATTTGATGTAGTAGGTGTTGTCGGTTGTTATTTGGTGCAATAGGTGTTGACAGTTGGTATTTGATGTAGTTGGTGTTGACGTTTGTTATTTGGTGAAGTAGGTGTTGACGGTTGTTATTTGGTGTAATATGTGTTGATGGTTGTTATTTGGTGTAGTAGGTGTATACGTTTGTTATTATGTGTAGCAGGTATTGACGTTTGTTATTTTGGTGTAGAAGGTGTTGACGGTTGTTATTTGGTGTAATAGGTGTTGACGGTTGGTATTTGGTGTGCTAGGTGTTGACGTTTGTTATTTTGGTGTAGAAGGTGTTGACGGTTGTTATTTGGTGAACTAGGTGTTGACGGTTGTTATTTGGTGTAATAGGTGTTGACGGTTGGTATTTTATGTACTAGGTGTTGACGTTTGTTATTTTGGTGTAGAAGGTGTTGACGGTTGTTATTTGGTGTACTAGGTGTTGACGGTTGTTATTTGGTGTAATATGTGTTGTTGGTTGTTATTTGGTGTAATAGGTGTATACAATTGTTATTTGATGTAGTAGGTGTTGTCGGTTGTTATTTGGTGTAATAGGTGTTGACGGTTGGTATTTTATGTACTAGGTGTTGACGTTTGTTATTTTGGTGTAGTAGGTGTTGTCGGTTGTTATTTGGTGTAATAGGTGTTGACGGTTGGTATTTGATTTAGTAGGTGTTGACGTTTGTTATTTGGTGTAGTAGGTGTTGACGGTTGTTATTTGGTGTAATAGGTGTTGACGGTTGTTATTCGTTGTAGTAGGTGTATACGTTTGTTATTTGGTGTAGTAGGTATTGACGTTTGTTATTTGGTATAGTAAATGTTGACGATTGATATTTGGTGTAATAGGTGTTGGCGGTTGTTAATTTGTGCACCAGGTGTTGACGTTTGTTATTTTGGTGTAGAAAGTGTTGACGGTTGTTATTTGGTGTAATAGGTGTTGACGGTTGTTATTTTGTGTAATAGGTGTTGACGGTTGTTATTTGGTGTAATAGGTGTTGACCGTTGGTATTTGGTGTACTAGGTGTTGACGGTTGTTATTTTGATGTAGTAGGTGTTGACGGTTGTTATTTGGTGTAATAGGTGTTGACGGTTGTTATTTTGTGTAATAGGTGTTGACGGTTGTTATTTGGTGTAATAGGTGTTGACCGTTGGTATATGGTGTACTAGGTGTTGTCGGTTGTTATTTGGTGTAATAGGTGTTGACGGTTGGTATTTGGTGTACTAGGTGTTGATGGTTGTTATTTGGTGTAGTAGGTGTTGACGGTTGGTATTTAGTGTAGTAGGTGTTGACTGTTGTTATTTGGTGTTTTGACGTTTGTTATTTGGTGTAATAAGTGTATACGTTTGTTATTTAGTGTAGTAGGTGTTGACGGTTGTTATTTGGTGTTTTGACGTTTGTTATTTGGTGTAGTAGGTATTGACGTTTGGTGTAGTAGGTAATGACGGTTGTTATTTGGTGTAATAAGTGTATACGTTTGTTATTTAGTGTAGTAGGTGTTGACGGTTGTTATTTGGTGTTTTGACGTTTGTTATTTGGTGTAGTAGGTATTGACGTTTGGTGTAGTAGGTAATGACGGTTGTTATTTGGTGTAATAAGTGTTGACGTTTGTTATTTTGTGTAGTAGGTATTGACGTTTGATCTATGATCGATTCTGTAAAATTTATTACAGGTATATTAGACTTTTGCAACTCTTTGTCGGTAACACTTCACAATGGAAGGGTGAACATGAATGAAGCAACAACCCAACTACACAAAAAACGAAGGCACATCTAATGGTCAACATACTATGTATTGTTTACAACAATATGAAAACCTCTAAATCTTTTTGAGTTAGATGATGACATTTCAGAGAATATTTGACATAAACAGTGTAGAT